TTTGTGGAACGGCAAGAAGCGTTGTCCTGCTGGTGGAGGTGTGTTTGGTCTTCAACAGTGTTTAGGTGGTTTATGTGTTAAATTAACATCCACATAAACGCCGGGACCCAAGGCTTCCCAGCAGAACCGTGCATTTTAACAGGATGATCGATGTTATACAGTTGACCTGTCAGTCGATTTAATGGTGCAGCTGATCGGTGTACATTTGTTCATTGATATTTGTGTCACGACCGGGTTGGTTTCTCAGAAAAGACTTCATCACCGAAGCCTGTGTCAAATTTCCTTTTTGTTTCAGTTCAACTTTAATGCAGAGAAAGTAAAGAAACAACGTCAGCCTCTGACAACTGTGCCAGTCGAATAAACAATATGTTTTGCAGTTAAGAGCTCTTTATAAGCGTTACAGCTATTCACAACATGTTGGGCTGATTCGATCAGAGTCAGAGTGCATCGGGGGATACACTCAGACAGATGCACACTCACACACACTCCCACTCATACCTGTGGCGTTGTGGATTTACAGTGTCCTACTGAGCTGTGATCAGCTTGGAGATAGGATTACTGTTGGCACAGTGGGCACTTTACCACCATTTAGAGTCACAAAGACAAACAAGTACACACACGGAGGCGCACACAGACAAACCAACACACCTCGTCTGTGCACAGCGCGGCGTTTTGGACACTTTTATAGACGCACTGTGGATGTCTGATGGTCTGAGCATCACCTCCTCGCTCATTAGGTGTTGCTAAGCTGCCATCTTTGCTCCCAGCGGTGAAGTAAATACAGTCAGGAATGTTCAGTAGATGCACTACAGGAGTAAAGTGGTGACAGACAATCAATAGAGATCTAATGATTAAGATATCACACTCTGGGGAGAGTTAGAGGATGCTGCAGTCCCCGCTCACTCCGTATATGTGTGAGTGTGCTGCGTGTGAGTCCACAGCACATCTGCCACCTGCTGTTTTAATCTCCCACAGCTCACACTTCTGCTGTGATGCTAGCCAGGGTTTTATACCATCCATTCATACCTGAGCACATTTTTTTTTCTCCCCCTGCAGCCTTGTCAGAACTGCTGATCACCTGCTCAGACTCGGAACACAAATCTTACACTTTTTCTGGCAACCGCACGGCCCCGATCAATCGGACTTATCTGTTACCACGCGGGCCCGAGTCCTGGGAGAAGCTCGGCGAGCGGCCCCCCTTCTCCACGCCAGACCAATGTCTGTTTTCAGGCATGATCGATGGAGAGCGGGGATCAACACCAGCAGACTTCGCTGAGCCCGAGCCGCAAGTCCACTTGGCAGAGGCACAAACACAGCACCTCATTAAACTCAAAACTCCCATCGCTGCCATCAGAGAGGCGAGCCTCGACGCCGCAGCGCTGATGGAGATCTCCAGAGCGCTGATGCAGGAGGGCTCTAATTGCTGCATGGTAATGTGGCGCCTCTGCATTCCCGTTGTTTCGACAATAATCCAATCGGCACAGCATTGTGTGCAGCGTAAGGAGGTTTGAGTTATGCTCGGTAAAACTGCCATATTGATTCACTCGTCGCTAAAAACAGCACAGGATTGGCTGGTAGGGACTGAACGATGGTGGTCTGCTGCTGTTGGAGCTCTGCAACCATCCCTCTCTCGGTCTCTCACTGTCACTCAATTGTGTGAATGGATTTGGCTATCTCAAGCGATGACTCCTCAGTCGGCCTCTTCTGTTCCATTTCCCTTCCTACTTCCTCTCATACGCTTTGTAGCCTCAAATCTGCCGTCTTTTTTCTGTCCAGCCTCCTTTTTTTTTTTTCTGGGCTCTTTCTCTGCCTTCCTGCCTTTTCATCTCAAGTGCCCCATTTGGCTCCAATGACCTCTTCTTCTTCTCTCTGTTTCTCTTCCTCTTCCTTTCTCTCTCTCTCGCTCTGCAGGTACCACCAGGCAGCCTAAAGAGGGGGAGGTGCCCGGCGTGGACTACAACTTTGTGAGTGTGGAGCGTTTTATGGAACTGGAACAAAGTGGAGCCCTGCTAGAGAGTGGAACCTATGAAGGTGAGCGAAACACTCTTGCATCTGCCAGACGAGTCGTGCTTGGGGAGCAAAAAAAAAAAAAACGGGAACATATGTTTCCGTAGAGCTATTTTCCTATTTTTAAAAGTAACCTTGCGTCTTGTGCTATATCTCCATTAATTAGACGTGTCAGGTGATGCTCTTATTCACAGCTTAGGTAAACAAAATGAGCCTTCTGCACAGATTTGTATTCTGCATTACAGCTTCCACTTGTGGTTGTTGAACGGCTGGTTGATTATTTCATTGTGTGTGTGTGTGTGTGTGTGTGTGTGTGTGTGTGTGTGTGTGAGAGAGCTGGACGAAAGCCATTTCCAAGTCATGTCAAGTCTGTGCATCTCTGCTTTGCTACACTGTCAGGGATACATCTACAGATGGGGGATTTGCTGGTTCATTTGCCCAGAAGCAATTTTTGTGAACATGTGCGGCTGAACACGCTCTCGCACAAATGATGCGTGTGAATGTGCGCGCGTAGGGACACATGTACGCTTATGCGCGCATGTTCACGTCGCAGTTGTGTGTCTTTGCGTGTCTACAGTGCATGTTTCCCTCAACGCAGAGCTTCCTTATGCCCACTGGGGGAAGCTGCCTTTCTTTCTGGGTGGCTGCACTGGAGGTGCTGCTACTCATTTTGTGATGCACATTAAACTAAGAGAGAAGGAAAACGAGAAGAAGGAATGAGAGACAGCCAGGGAGAAGGCAAAAAGATGGAAGATATCGAAGTAATTTGATTACGTCATGATTTATAATTTGATTAGTTTAAAGTTTTGTTTTCGTGCAGCGTGTGAAACGTCGAGATGTGCTTTAGTTTTCTGTCTCTGGGGTCGCAGCAGTAATGTAAGCTGTCACCGTTTCCTTGGAGACGCCTTTAAACACACTTTAATTACTTTGTTTTCCAAACTTTGAACAGACCACCATGCTGCGTGAAGTTTGTAAAAACTCACTGAAAAATGTCAAAATACTGTAAAATAGCTTCTTTAATATGAATATTTTTGCTTAAGATAAGATAATAAGATAATGATCCTTTATTTCTCCCCATGAATGAACTGAAAATCTTTGAGTTGTAGAAAAAACAAGACATTTGAGGGCGCAATCGTGGGTTTTAAGAAACACAGATTCGCAGTATTGACCATTTTCTGGCATTCACTAAAAGTCTAGTATTGATAATACAGCCAACACATGAAAATAATCACTAGTCACAGCCCTCGATGCATGATAAACACATGTTCTAGCACATGAAATAAAAGCACACAGTGAGACGGGAACACGCAGTAGAAAAGTTCGCTTGGATGCCGAAACCAGTTGGTCCCAGGTATAAACCGTTAGTTCTATTTTTTTGGAGGTAGAATTGTTCCATTTGCATGATTTGTTGCACAACTGCTGCCAGTGTTTTTCTTTGCAAAGCTCACAACATGTGAAGCACAACACGCTGCCTATAGGTGTGTATTGATTTTACAGCCCTAGGTACAGGAGAAAGCTAGTTGTTGCAAGTTATGTAAGGAGAAAAAAGAAAGCTAATTATCTATAAAGTTGGGGGAAAAAAATCAAGGTACATTTTTTTTTTTTTTTGAAGGAGACCACAATCAGACGCTCTTCAAAGCAGCTGTACTGCATGTTCTCGTGTGCGAGACTTGTGCACATAAGGACTTACGTATGTGCTGATGTGAGATGACTCACAGCTGAAGGTGGATATTGAACTGTACAAAAGCCAGGATGCCTTCAGGCGTCTCGAGCATCTCAAACATTTCACAATCACGAGAACATGTTGTTTTTTTAAAACCGGTGCGCTACATGAGCAGGAACCGTCGGCCTAAACTTATCTCGCCGTGCTTCGTGTTCTCCAGAGCGTCTCCTCAGGTTGTCTTGAAGCTTTCTCAGGTGGGCGCTGGCTTCCCGCGCCGTTTTATACTCGTGTCTTTGTTTACATGTGCCCGTGTGCGCACATTAATACTTTTGATAGGATGTGATAATTGTGTCTGGCGAACAGCGGGGTTAGTGTGCTTATTGAGGAAGTGGTGGCTGCAATAGAGCTGCTCCTAATATCTATCGGCCCCCTGCTGTGATGAAAGTAAAGGGACGTCTGTGGACTCTTTGCTGCTGATCCTCATTTTGCCGTTCATTACTTCCTTCCCTCGTCTTGGCTCTGATGTTGTTCTGCTCTCGTTGCCCCTGTCCTCTCATCATAATACCCCTACTCTCCTCTATGAGGGGCCGTAAAATAAGACATCAGTCACTATTTAATCTTTACGCATAGATATACTCTGTGTATACAACAATCCCTTATTGTAATTGAAAGACTTAAGTACCTTTATAATAAAAAGAGCCTTATTACATTTTAAAACTAAATAGCACAAGGAAAGAAATGTGTCAAATATATGTGATTAACGTTAAAAACAACACGCTCAACACTTTGTCCTCATTCCTCAAAACATTCCTGAGCAGTGTTTACAGTGGGCTGAGTAGGGTTCATCCATGTTTTGGGTTTTTTTTAGTGCCGATAGCAATTATTGGTACCGTAATTTCCAGACTACTGAGCGCACCTGAATGTAAACCGCACCCACTAACTTTAAAAAGAAAAAAAAATGTGTACATATATACACTTGTCCATAAGCCGCAGGTGTCCACGTTGTAACAGGAGATATTTACACAGAAAGACTTGTTTAAACTTTTAATTAAATACATGCTGGTAGCATACACAAATACGTAAATGCTTTTTTCCGAACAGTGCCTGTAACATGGCTGGTTAAGAAAATAAAAAATTTAGTAGCCTACCAGGAAAAGTCATTGATCGCTACCTTCATCATCCTCCTGCGCACGAAAACCACTAAAGTCGTCTTCTTCAGTGTCGGAGCCTCAGAATTACTTCGTCACACACTTCCTCAGTTTCTCTTTCGTTCTCAGTGTCACTTGTCTCGAGGGAAATTCGTAAAACTTGTAAAAATCCATAAATTAGCCGCATCGTTGTTTAAGCCGCAGCGTTCAAAGCGTGTGAAAAAAGTAGCGGCTTATAGTTTGGAAATTACGGTAATCGAGAAAGACTGATATTTGGAACCGATGTGCACATTAAATGTAATGTTTTAACAGCATGTGATGGCAAAAAACTTGTCATCCAAAACTAGACTTCTTCATTAATAAAGGTGACTATAACTGAATATGTAAAATAGAAATAGGAGTGAATAAATGAGGACAAACTCCTCTGTTTAAGTGGGATCGAATGAGATTGATCAGTTCGCTGCTTCTTCAGCTTCTCACTTTTAGTGCCCACTCATATCTTAAAGCATCATTATTTATTGTTTTCCAGACTCTGTTTCAGGGTAATCTGTGGCTGCCTTCTAACTTAGCCGTTATCGTCGCCTTAGCCACTGTGAGAGGAGCTAATTTCCTAGTTTGAAGCAACGGCTTGTGTTTCTAGTTCAGCGTCGTCCGTCTTGAGACATTTCTGAGACCACAGGAGAGAGGTGGCTGCATCAGAGCTTAAGTAATTAATTTATCAATAACTGGTCAATAAAAATGCCAGTTATCACTCATGATAATCGACCAGGCATGTAATCTGTCTGTCTCTGAAGGCGAGTCACACAGTCCGGCTGTGGGAGGCTGTTGTTGAAGGGTGTGCTCGGTCGACAACAATGTGAAGGTGGGTGGTACTTGTCAAAGAAAAAAAAAAAAATCCACATGACTGCCAGGACTCAAGGTTTCACAGCAGAACATTGTATTGTGACAAGATGTTTTCATCTGCAGTACGACGCACAAAGCGCCCATGTCTGCTGTCCTTTTCTTTTCACTTTGCTCTGCAGTAACATTACAGTGTGTATGTAATGACAGACACTTAATGCTTTTTTTTTTTTTCTTCTGTGATTCGGTTTTAATCTTGCGCCTCTGAAGTTTGGAGTCCAAACAGAGCTGCCTGCACAAACATGGGAGGAAGGCGGCAGCTGAGGTTGTGTTTATACAGATCAGGTGGTTCTGTACGGCTCTGGGAACCATTTTATCAAGAAGCTGCACCTGTTTCCACCTGCTAAGCTCACCCACACAGGAAGTTGCATTTAAAAAGATTGGGGACGCCGTCTTCAATGGGAAACCAAAATGTCATATATCTAGATAAAAGAATATCATAACCGCTGTCAGTTTATTTGTACATTTAATACACAGAGGCAGATCAGCGTGGTTTTGGCAAATCCAGTAAGGACACTAAAAAAAGAGGGAAAATAGTATAAAATCATTTAAAATGTCGAGAAATTTATAAAACATTAAGAGGCAGAGCCAGAAATACTGAAACTAAGTGCGAGATGGTTGAGAAAGTTTAATATTCTCTGGAAGTTTGTTGCAGTCCTGTGGTGCACAATAAGAGTTTTTAACAGCCCTCTGCCCGGTGACCCGAGAGGTCGAGAGAGTTCATGTGGTCAAAGACAGTCGCCTGGAGTTTATGGCTGTCGGCCA